GAAGAAAAAAAAACTTGCACCCCACCCATTCTATAAACCCTAAACATTGTCTGCACACGCAGGATTGTCTGTCTGCCTGTTTGTCGGTCACACACATTACGTTTGGCACCCTCCACCCCAAGCCAATGTGTGTTCTTTTCATCATCCATCAATTCCTACGTGTTGTTTTCAACTGAGTTGATACACCTTCTTTATGGGCGTCCTTGAAAAAGTTCCGGCGAACAAAACGGCAAAACACAAGGAACACAAAACACACTGTTATCTCTATAGAATATTTTTCCTGAAAACAGTTCGAGAATCAGAATCCTAGCTTCAATTCTCGTCTTTCCGCTCGCTCTCATCACCCGTGCAACGTCGTGCAGGCAATGCGCTTGTGTGTGTGTGACTCTAGCGTATTGAGTAGTAGCCTTGGTAAGCCGTTGGCCAAATGGTCAAAGTTGCAGCATGGTCTAGTGCGTTTCTACCGCGGGTCTAGCGGGGATCTAGCGCGCTCCCCTGCCAGTGCGTCAGGCCACCAAACGGCTGTCTAGCCAGCTTTCCGAGCTTACATAAACCAACCACAGCCACAACGGCAGGACTGTCCGTTCATACCTCAACAAGTTTAATTGCCAATGCGTGTATGTGTTGTTTGTTAATCCTACCTAAGTCTTTGAACCTAGCGCCAAACACGCTAAACCTAGCGCAACCCTGCATTTTGCTAGCGCGACAAGGTAGCATCTCCAAGTTAAGCCGCAGAACACCAAGCGGTGGCCAAGATCCTCTAACGAAGATCCTCTAACAAAGAACTTTTATGCCCTGTAACAAAGATCCTCTACAAAACATTTTCTGGGGGTTCCGAGTTCCGACTTCATTGCGTTTTGTTTCCCCTGTTTTTCGCCGCCGGGGCATCCCTGACGCAAGCAATGTGCAGCTTGGCGGGGCATTTGATTGTCGTTTGCCGCCCTTCACCTACTTAGCACTGCAAAGGTATCCAAAATGTGTTTGGGCACTTGATTACTGGTCCCGCTGCGCGACAACTTGGCACCCACAAGGAGTCAAAACGGTTGTTTCTGCATCATGTGAACTGGACTGTATGTGTAGCACCCCATGGTTTCTCATCTTGCAACTGAAAATGACTGTGAAGGAATGGCCGCTGGAAACAGGCCCAGCCGAGCGTGGACCGAAACTTAACATCTGGAAAGCGCACAGCGGAAATTATGGCAAAAGACATGAACGACCCACGAGTGCTATGCAAAGACTGGGTGTGCGATGTGTGTTACTCTGCTTGCCCTAAAATATAACCGGGCCGAGCACAAACCTGTTCTTGCAACCTTTACATGTGTCTCTCCTCTCCTGGGTCCACGTGCCCTCTCTTGCAACCAGTGCGAGCACCAAAATGTTGCACACCAAAGTATACCAGCATAGACCCCAAACAGTTTCAAAAGGGTTCGTTTCGACCAATCTTAGTCAAAAACGATTTCTCGGTGCGCCCTACCCCCCAAAAAAACAAACTGCTTTATCAATGGTCTTTGTCGGCATCGACACCGCTAATTACGCTAATTGTTCCGCCACAAGAGAACACAACAAAAGAGCAGGACACGAGAACACAACAGGAGGCCCGACCACAGAGTTCAGGGGCGCGGCTAGTCAGTGTGGCCAGGGCTGGTCAGCGCGGCCAAAGGACAAAAGAAGGACAAGAGGAGGACAAGACCCCACCACAGAGCCCGGCCGCAGAGTTCAGGGGCGTGGCCAGTCAGTGTGTCCAGGGATGGTCAGCGCGGCCAGAGGAGAAGG